TTTGGAGTTTAAAACTAAAAAATTATTTATACAATAAACAAACACTTTGATTTGAAAATCACTAATAAAAAAATAAAAAGAAAGTTAAAAAGAATCAAACTTTAAAATCATAAACACTCATTGTTACCTAAGAGTGTCAGGAAGGGAAAAAGTCGTTGACCATGTATGTAATATGTTTTTGGTCTAGGGTTTGTTATTTATAAGTTGTATATATGATTTTTTTTTGTATTTTATTATTTTTATTTTTTAAAATTATTGTTATCATATAGATATTAATTATAGTAAGTATATGTAAAATTTTAATTATACAAATACATATAACATGTTAGTTAAATAAAACAATTAAATGGTTGAGTAAACAATTTTGAACCATTATGATATATTATTTTCATACCTATTACTTAACCAAATTTTTTACAATTTAAATAAGATATTTATCTAAATAGATAAAATAATTATAAGAGAAATAATCTGTACACCCTATAAATAACGAATAGACCTGTATGCAATGCCCACCACCCTGCCTCACCCTAAATTCTATCAAAAGAGCAGATCCAACCCAAACATATGAAGGATATCATTAATTTCAGCATGGGTTCAGCACCAGCAGTTCAGTTAATACGGATTTGTTTGAAAATGTTTTTCTAGTATTTTAGTTTTTGATTTTTATGTTTTTTTCTAATATATAAAATATTAATTAAATTAAATATTAAATATATTTTATATATTTTTAAGACATGACTTAAAAAATTATCCGTTGCAATTACACACTGTCACTCCAAACTAAAAGCCTAGGACTCAGAAGAAGTCTACCGTCTTGGTCGTTGCTAGTTGCTCCAAGGCATTCAAAAAAACTTGTTCCCATGATAAAACAACTGATTTTCCATAAAATTGATGAAAGCAACCACACTTTGAATCAACACCGCCACTATAAATCAAACCAACATCACCTCGTTGGAATCAGACATCGACATGCAAGATGATTAACCGGCGAAACGTTTCAAAAGCAGAGCAGGAAAGAGAGTTTCTCAAGAGAGATTGTCAAAAACATGAAAGATAAAGCAATGCATGTAAAAAATTAAGTACCCAAGAAATATCAAGGAATAGATAAAATTGTAACTAGCAAAGCCAAACCCTAAAATTATGCAAAGAAGAGTACATATATAAAATGAAAAAAAAGGCAAGAAAAACAAGACACTCGTAATTAATAGCAGACTCTACTCCAATAATGAAGGGATTAAACAATTCATATAAACCGTTATATATCTTCTCCTCCAATTAGGGAAAAGCTGGTGTAGAAATCAGTTTTCATACAGAGATTACAAATCAGATATATCTCAACATTAACAGTTAAATACAAACCCGGATATCTGCAACTGACGTGCGTACATGTTTGTTTAGCCCAACATTTTTGGCCCTGTCTTCCAGTCTCTGAGTCAAAATGTCATTCCCCGCATTTCTGTGAACCAGGCTTCCAATCTTTGCTAAGTTTACTCCCCAGCCCTCTCAGTGGGAGAAATAACAGTTCTTTGTTGGTTCTTTGAGCTTAAGGCTTCCCTATACTTATCCAATTTATTGATGGAATCATGGAGCTTTCTGACTCTATCCCTGGTAAAAAGACATCACACCTTCAATAAATAAGCACTAAGCAATGGCATTAGGAGTAAGAGGCAATAGGACCTAGTTTGAAAGTTGAAAATCATTCACACTCCATAGAGCCAGAAAGAAAAGGTTCAACCTGACTTCTCTCAAAACATATTGCAACTATTAATCAAGTATTTGAGGGAAGGACAGATTGGCAAAGAAGAAGACAAGATAAAATTTGAAATAATAATAATAATAATGCATATCACCATACTACATGATCATTGCATGCATCAATTTTTCACACAGATTCTCCAACTTAATGATCCAAAGTAAAATCACATGATTGGTCAATACTTGGGCTAATTACTTTTTCCCAATTAGACCTTAAAATCTGAAATTCTTTTTCAACCTACGAAAAATTGGATGGAAAAATATGAACCAAAACACAAAATTAGTGTTTAAATCTATCCCATCAAAATCTACAGATGCCGTTGCCACAACAGCTACAATGAGCAGTTAATTGCATGTACATTCTACAGAAAGACATTGTGCTCCAGGAACAAGAACAATATGAACAATGGACAAGCAAGGCGTAGCTCAAAAGACTTACTTGGCCTTTCTGGAGGCATCTTGCACGCTTTCTTTCAAGTGCTTAAGCTCCTCCGTTGCAACGGGTGCAGTGAGTTTAAAGTGAGCAACTCCAAAAGAATGGTCTTCTTGGGTAGTTGCAGCATTTGCAACTCTATGGCCTACAATTCCAGCAGATCGTTTCTTTTTCATCTTTGAATCCCATCCTTCACCTCCAGCAGGCAATCTTTGGATTTTTTCTTCAGTTTGAACAGCACTTCCATTAATAGATGAAAGGGTGTCACCATCCTTTTCTGCCCCCTTCTGCTGCCTTGCATTTACAACAGCCCTACTATCTCCCTGATTGCATTAAAAAGAATTAGGTACTAAAGAAATATCAAGCAATAGATAAAATTGTAACCACCAAAAGCATAACCCTAAAATTGAG